ATATATATATATATATATATATATATATATATATATATATTACAATCTGTAGTTCACCATGACTTATTAAGGAGATGAGTGACATATCAATTTAATAAATTAATTAATACCTAATCTTTATGTTTACAATATTATGGCTTGAATCATGATACTATCCATAGCATCATTGCAACTATTTATAATTTTTCTTCATTTATTACAATTTTCCCATGCCACTGTTTCTAACGAAAGGTATTTTTCTAACAAAAAATACCTTTCGTTAGAAAAAAGTTTCTAATATGATACTTCCATACTTTTGTACATTTTGCCAGATACTGCTGTATTTGCATAGTAAACGTGTAAACATTTATTTAATTTCATTTTCTGAATAATATTGTAAGCAACTTTGAGTAAGGTACACCTACTGTAATAATGTTTTTCATAGTACTTACTTTTATACTAATATCTCAAAACAAATAGGCTTTAGCATTAAGCATTTAGTTTATTTCTTTATTGATTTTTTATGATGCTTCCAGAGAAATTATATAGAAAAAAGTATGGCTACTGTTGTTATATGTAGGTTCAACCAAATCTGTATATCCAGAGAAAGACAGTATATAGCAATGTATATAACATAACAATGTATGCTATATGAAACATTTTTAATCTCTTTGGTGATGCTATAGTTTTGCTGAAATAAGCAGTAGTTGCTTTTTGGCTCAGAAAAACAGTTCTAATTCTAGAAACTCTTAAGATAATATTTTCAAGTATTACTTCCAAGCTTTTAATGGTCCTAGAAAATGCTGCACTTCAAGAGTGCAAGAGTAACCTGCAAATTGCATGTGGCCTCCTTTTTTTAAATGACAATTTTATTGATTTTCATGTAGAAGACGCACATAAAATCAGAACTTATAAAAAGTATTAAAACAATTGAAGGTAAACCATGCATATAAAAGGTATAAAATAATGATCCTGCAAAGAAAAGCAAGTAAGTTAGAAAACAATACATTAGTAATAAGATTTTTAGCAGTGCATTTTTTTCTTCTTTTTAAAGGTTTTATGTACCTATTTTTAATCATCATTATTTAGAATATGTCCCTTCAGCTCTCAATTGCCTGTGAATATGTGAATAGGAAGCCCTTCAAAAAAACCCTTTTCTGCCTCTGTTTCAGTGGTTGCATACAGCTTGATATTAAACATATTTGTTTAATTTACCTGAAATTACTTTAAATGTTGCAGAAAAGATTTAAAAATTGCAGATTAATGTTCTACTTCCAAGTGTACTGCATTGTACTTACTAGCTGACTTTATTTAAAATTGTACTGTGAACAAAATCATCAAATGATGCTTTCTTAGCATATATATTTTATATTGGTTTTGTTGATAATAACTTTTTAGTTTTTATTGTAGGCATTGAATCAAGTTGTCCTTTGGGACAAAATTATCTTGAGAGGAGATAGCCCAAAGCTGCTTTTGAAAGATATGAAATCAAAATATTTTTTCTTTGATGATGGAAATGGCCTCAAGTGAGTAAATTTCCCCTTACATTATTTATTGATATATATCCCAGAATAAAACTATAAGCAGTCATACAGTCTTCAACAGTATATTTCTATTACATCTGAGCCTCTTCAGCAGAATATATGTAATCCTCTAACAACAATAATTGGGACTGGAATTTTCATTGCTAATCAATGCACTTGTAAAGAGCATCATCATGCGATAGTATCACTTAACAATGCCACTTTTGGTAGTCCCCTTTGCTGTGGTTAAGCAAGGATCACAAGTCATTAAGCAAGGACCTCCTTGATATTTCCTGCCAGCTTCTAACAAATGAAGTCAATGGATAAGCTGGCATAGCTAGGCCCCATGGGAATGACTGCTGCTTCCTGTGGGAAGGTGCACAGGTAACTGCCACAGTGCTGCAGACTCATGTAATTCATAGCCAGCTTTTCAGCAGATAAAGTGTAGGAGAGCAACTTTTCTTGTGGGAAGCTGGCAGGAAAGTCACAAAATGGTAATCGTGACCATGGGACACTGCAACTGTCAAAAGTGCAAGTTGGTTGCCAAGCACCTGGATTGCAATCACATAACAGTTGTTGTGCTGGAATGCCTAGAACTTTGAGGACTGGTCATAAGTACCATTGTTCAGCACTGTCATAACTTCGGACAGTTATTGAATGAGAGGTCATTAACTGAGGGCTATTTGTAAATAGATACTTTTTCTTTCGAGATAACTCACTATGTTGACCATCTATTTATAAATGCTGAAGTATCTATTGTATCTAATATAATTTACAGAAGTTATCTTTATGTATTTTATAGACTTGCTTATGAATATTAAACTGACTATAAGTCTGGAATGTCTAGTGAGTTCCCCCGCATTACATGACCACAATAAAGAGATGAAGGTTTCATTGTTTCTCAATATGAAAACTGAACATTACAGTTCACAATCAAATTCTTATTGATTGGAATTAATTATTTTTTATGATGACATGCATATAAGGCTATGTAAAGCATTTAAAGGCATGTTTCATGAATTCTAAAGACACAAACAAGGTGCTTCTCAAAGGTCTGACAAAGGTTGAGTTGCTTCAAGGACATTCCTGGGTATATGTACTTGTTTGTATACAGGCAGAAGCCTCTGAGTGAATGTGCATGCATGTGCATGAATAAATTAAGACCCTTGAATCAGCCATACCAAGTGTTCTAGAAACATTGATGCCTCAATATTTTGAGGAGGGGCCCTTACACAAATGCCATGTCATGACACACATCCTTTAAATGATTTGCAGAGCAGTTATGCATCATTTTACTTACTGTAGCTTTTCTTATAGCTTAAAGTAATTAAATGTTTTTTTTAACTCTGTTCTAATTGCAGGGGCAACAGGAATGTCACTTTGACTCTCTCATGGAATGTCGTACCAAATGCAGGAATCCTACCTCTCGTAACAGGAGCAGGACACATATCTGTTCCGTTTCCAGATACTTATAAAACGGCCAAAAGCTATTAAATTATTGGGCTGTACCTTGAGTAACATATTTTTATACTTGTACATTATAAATTTTATCAATTTTTAGTCTCTTGCCCGCTGCAATTCAAAGGTACTGTACTTAATTTCTTTAGGCTTAGCTGAGAGGGAGGGACATTTTGTCAGATTTGTTTTCAGTTAAAAAAGATAAAATTCCAATCTCGAGGAAAGGTGGTTGTTTAAATTTGAGCAAATGGTTTTGTGTTTACTATTGGGAGAAAAATACCTTTCTTATGAATAAACTTTTTGAAATCAGAAACAGTTTGGTTTTGGTATAGTATGAGTTATTTTTTCTTCCATTCTTCTATCTATCCATCCTTATTTGAAATTTCAGTATTGCCACCATGGCATATTGTTATGCAGAAACAAATTTTGAGTAACTAGTCAAACTGAGCATTTACTGAAACTCATTCCTTTATAAAAAAAAGCTTTTATAAACGAAATGGAACATGAATAAACTTTCTTAAAATGATGCAGCATCCTTTTTAAAAGAAAAAAAAATATGTTACACTTTTTAGGAGTTGTATTCCAGATTGATATTGCTACAAAAAATTCAGGTGGCGTATTTTTGTGGAATCAATTTTGAATCTTAGGGCAAAGATTAAAGTAGCTTTCACAAAAGCTGTAGTGGTTGAGATTAGAGAAGATACACCATATATCATTTAATTTAAAAATAAAATTCCAATTCTTAGATAAAACAGCAAAAATTTAACTCGTGCAGTATTGACTATGTAAAATATTTTTATTTTGTTAAAAAATCTTATACTTTCCATTTTTTTATTTGTTTCATTCTTGTTTTGCTCTTCAAAGCATTGATCAAACTATGTATTCTGATTCCTAATCTATTTGGATAGTATTTTTAATTCATCCCTATTGACAAATGAGATATTTAAAAACTACACATTTTCTCTTACATTACAACTACACACATTCTCTTACTTACATTATACTCCACCTAACATACTTCATGTAACTCACACAATTAATTAAATCATAACATACCCCAATCTTAATATAGAATCAGAGGCTTGTAGAATCTCTTGTACCCACGTGTAGCTGATAGATCAGAATAAACAATATTTTCTGCATACATGCATAGATGAAGGAGAAAGTATGTGTAAATTCTGAAAAGTATTTTTTCTGAACCATTTCAACAGTTGCCATGATCTAACCTTTAGATTTCTCTAAGGCACTGTTGCTTATTGTTTCTAAGGAAAACCTTTTGGTTGCATAGAATCATTTTATTTCACTTCAGATGCTTCCCAAGTGCCTGCTTTCCTTTTATACAGCATTTTTGTACTATATGCTATTCATTCTTTTAAACATTTTGTCCTTATATCACTGCATCTTTATATTACAATGAGCATGAACAAAAGTCTTAATGTAATTAAGTACAGGTTACTTACTATAAGTGGTCTAATTAGTTTTAATGTTTTAGCTTACATATATATATAGAAACATGGATGGAAGGTTACTAAGAACCCTGTTTAAGAACAGTTTATGCCGTGTCTAGGCATATAAGGCAAAAAGGCAAAAAAAACCTTTTATAAAATCAATTCATTCAAATAGTTCTTATTGGTGCCCCATAATTCACAATATTGTGGCCCTCAGAAACACATAGAGTAGCAGCTCATTACATAGGATTGCATAATAATCCTATGTAAGATGATTCAACCTCCGTAATTTCCTATTGAGCAGGTTTATATATCTAAAATATTTATTATTCTGCAGATGGAACTCATATTCACATTTCAAATACACAATATTAGTTCTATTTTGGTATTGACAAAAACATTTAATTACAGGTTTGGTGAGGATTTTTCTTCTGTCCATTCATTCTTCTGATATAATGGATAAAACACATTTGTTAACTACAAGAGACTTGTATGTCAAGATGGAAGGGTAAGCAATGCTAGGTTTCTCTGAAGATTTAAGTGAAAGTAGGGGTACTCTGGGTGTACAAAGAGAAAAGGTGTCATTTATTTTTATAGATAAGTGGACTAGAAAATGAATAAATAAAAACAAATGGACTGTAGACTGAATGCAAGATGGTTTTGTGTAGCTTCTGATTGTGGTTACTGACAATATGTATATATATCAGTGTTGAATATTAGGTTCTAAGTATGTTGGCTACATTGAGTAACTTTTTGTGCATTCTATATAAGACTACAGTTTATTAATTGGGATATAGTTACAATAATGAACAACTGGATTAGTGATAAAAGTACAAGATATAAAAATAAATAGATCATATAGAAAGAGTAGGATAGATGTAAACTAATTTGTAACAAATACTAATCAAACTGATAGGTTAATAGTTGGCAGAGTTTGTTTTATTTCTTTCCATATACATGGAAATTTCATTATTTATATAACCACGAGGAATTTGTCTTATTGCAGGAAGCAAGCTGATAGAATGCATCAGTAAGAAAAGATTGAAAGTATTTCTGTTGGAATGTATCTTCCTTCTGTATTTTTTCCCTGGCTGTAATTGGTTGAACCTTTTATTTCCTGTGTTGCAACAGGGAGGGTTCTTTTTAATGATTTCATTTTATTTTTTTCTGAGAATTCTCTTCTTCTAAAATATTTTGAAAGAGCAAAGCCTATCTTGTGGAAACAACTTTGCCTTAGTTAAGATTCCAGACACTCTATATCCTGGAGAAATTAACTTTAAAATATGTTATACATATGCTGTCCAATTTTTGCTGAAGATAAACTGATATTTCCACTTTTGTCTTAATTATTTTTTCCCTAAGAAAATGTAATGTTTACACACTAAAATGTTGTTAAGTGTTTTTGGCTTTCTTATAGAGTTAACCAGATCTTTATTGGCATATCTTCATCAGATGAAATGGCCTTTTTTAAATTGGCTTTTGAGATTTAGTTTGAACAATTTATCACCCATGCATTAATTACTTGTATATTGCCAAATCAGCCACAAAAGTATAGCAGTTTCTAGTAACAATCAGCAATGAAAACAACCACAGGAGAAAATCAAAATTAAAACATCCAAAATAAAATATAACTGATATACTAACCAATTTGTAAAAAATACACAAGATGATTATTCTAATACTAATTGAATAATAAAAATAAAAGTGAGTAGAATGGATAAATAATGAAATAAAATAACTATAGTTATAGTAAAATAAAGTTGTCAACAGCAGTCTTATAATGGGCTTGAAGCTATCAAAGGGTACATCACTATATGTTTAAATTATTTTTCAATTCCATTTTTCAATTTTCTTTCTTTTAAGAATTTTTGCCTATTTTTTAAATATTTACAATCACAATCATGAGGTTTTGATTGTAGAATTCCACTTGTATCGTTTAACTGGATGTTAAAGATAAATTTAGCACAATCTGTTGGGTGCAGCAACTACCAGTATGAAAATTCTAGGAGCTGGGAGCAGAGGGCATAATGAAGGCACCTCACTCCATTCTGGATGCTCTTTCACAGTAGAACTATAGGAATATAGACTTTCTCAGCTATTTATTTATTTTCTAATTGTTTAAGATGGTGATAACTTTTTCATCTGTTCTTCATTGCTTCTATTTGAAACAAGATATGCAAAGCATACAGAGCATGGCATCCCCCCCCCCCCAATTCCTTAATTGCAGCTTCACTCTGTTGGAGGTGACTGCAAGGGAGGTAGGGGATTTAAAATGGAGCAGTCAGCAGCTTTCCAATCCATTGTCAAGTTGTCGATAGCTTCATTGATTCACTGCCTTGACATTTTTTTTTCTGGATCTTTTTCCTCTGGTCCTGTTCTATACATGTGTGTGTCTGTGTGTGTGTGTGCGTGTATAATTACAGAGTCCCAAGCACTTTAAACAATTCTTTCCGCTAGATAATTCCACTAGATAAGAAGGTAAGGAAAACATGCATGGCGTCTTTTCAACCCCTGTACCAGCAGTGACCAGTGATCATCTACATTGGTGTTGCCTTATTGGTGAGGGGACGACATATAAAATAAATATTTTTTCTTCTATGTGGTGAAATAACAGTATGAGTTGTAGTTATCTACATACAGGCAGTGGCTATATGGTGTATACTGGTCTAGGCTATGAATTGAAGGAGTTAGAATGGAGTTGTTAGTGACATTTAAAGTAGCTGCCCAAGTGCCCAACCCATAGAGTTGTGTTTGATGAAATTGTTCGTATTCAGGNCCTGGAGTCCTACGGGATTGGGCGGCATATAAATGTTATTAAACTTTAAACTTTAAACTTAAACATTCAAGTCAGGGCTCTGGCTAGGTCAGTCTAGGACAGTGATGGCAAATCTTTTCAGCACTGAATGCCCAAAACGGAATACACATGCATATGTTTATGCCGGGGTGCCATAAACCCAAAGACCAGCTGGCCCGCATACATATGCCTGTTTTTTGTCCATTTTTGGCTGTTTTCAGACTGTTTTTAGCCCATAAAAATAGCCTGAAAATGCCCTGGAAAATGGCTGGAAAATGCCCCACAAAAGGCCTGGAAAAGGCCCGGAAACCGGCCTGAAAAACTGCCTGTTTTTTGGCCTATTTTATGGTGCTCTGGCGCCCGTGAAGACCAGCTGGCCAGTGTGCATGTGCACACCAGAAACCAGAAGAGCAGCTGGTGACAGCACGCATGCCCACAGAGAGGTCTCTGCGTGCCAGCTCTGGCACATGTGTCATAGGTTCACCATCACGGGTCTAGGACATTCACAGAGTGGTCCTAAGCCACTCCTGTGTTGTCTTGGCTTTGTGTTTAGCATTGTTGTCATGATGGAAAGTGAACCTTTGGCCCAGTCTGAAGTCCTGAGTGCTGTGGAAAAGGTTTTCATTGAGAATATCCATGTACTTTGCTCCATTCAGGTTTCCTTCAACGCTGACCAATCTTCTAGTCTCTGCTGCTGAAAAACACACCAACAGCACGATGCTGCAACCACCATGCTTCACTTTGGAATGATATTGCACAGATGATGAGCAGTGCTGGGTTTCCTGCATATGTAATGATTAGAATTGAAGGCAAATAATTGATTTCATCAGACCAGAGAATCTTGTTTCTCACAGTCTGAGAGTCCTTCAGGTGCTTTTTTGCAAACTCTAAGCAGATTCTTGTGTGTTTTGCACTGAAGAAAGGCTTCCATCTGGACCATAAAACCCAGATCGGTGGAGGGCTGCAGTGATGGTCCTGGAACTTTGGGCCATCTCTACACAGGATCTCTGAAGCTCAGTCATGACCATCAAGTTCTTGGTTATGTTTTACTAAGGTCCTTCTCTCTTGATTGC